ACCCAGTATCTATACTTGACCGCATGCCGCCGAAGGCGTTATACGGATTGCTTTTTGGCATTCTTGAACGCATCACCAAGTTAATCGTTACCGATCTAACGTGATTGTTCACAACGAAAGTTGGTTTTGATTGAGTTACGATTATGCTTTACAGCTTTGCCGCCACGTCAATGCATAACCGCTGTTTGCAATACAAAGCAGCAATATTGGGACTTATGTACTCGACGCCGATTCCATCCGTAAGTGTTTTCAACACCATTTCAGGCGACGAGCGAATCGCTCTCTATACAGAAATGAAGGACGAAAGTGAGCGAGGAGTGATTTTCATGAACAATAAATGTTATACATATATACCTAAATGTTTGATGTGCACACGCTATGAAATTTATTAAAACACAAATGAGATTAAGAAATGCAAAAAAAAAGCCTATTAAAGCCGAGTTTAACTCAAAAGAATTCTACAATGTATTAATACTAAATACGTGCTACAAACACTAAACACTATTTTGAAAGACTTGATATATCAATTAAATTAACTCAATAACCAATGCAGCATTCATGAAATGGAATGGATTGGGCGAATAGTGCATAGACACCAATGGAGGGAAATGAGGTGAAAAAAATCGTGGGCATGAAATGCGCTTGACGTGTTGTTTTTCGTTTCAAACTTTAAATGAGTTCATCAATAAAGGGTTACTAGATTAAAACTTTAGCATGTTACCGACCGCTTGTGGTTAGGTTAAAAACCTTTCAGCGTTACACTTACGAGTTTATACATTCGTAATTAAGTATGTATGTATATTTGACAGGTGATCGCTAAAACGTTTAGTGATTGTATACTGAGCTAAATGTTTGTACGAGTACAGTGTGATGGGGTTACTACATATACATATATGTATATAGCAACTCTTGATACATATTCATATAATATTGCAGATATATTAAGTGTATGTATTTATATTTTTTTGTTTAAGAAAAATTATGGTGCAATAGAAAAGAGACGGCACATGAAAACATGTGTTTCATTGGACGACACGACGCTTTAGATTTGAGTTGAGTTGAGTTTGTTTTGCTGTTGTTTAATGTTAGTTTGCACTAAAATAGCTAGCGTAATATGTACAATCTTTGTGGTATTTTTTGTTGGTACTAGTGTCTGTTAATGAGCTTTTGCATAAATATGTAAATAGAAACAAGAATCAACTAATGATATCGTTCAATTGACAATTTTTACAACGATATAACAAATTCAAATCAATTCAAATTTGGATGCTGTTTGTTTTACGAATATTTTAGTTGCAATGTGAACGAATGAACGAACGAACGAACGAACGAACGAACGAGCGACGCTTTTAGGTAACTAAGTTGTTGCTTGATAGCTTGACGCTAATTTATGCTGTTGTTTACCTGACAAAATAGAGCCTGGCGTTTTTGGGTGAATTGATTCAATTGGTTTTAGTTGATTGATTGGTTGGTTGGTTGTTTGGTTGATTGGAAACAGAAACAACGTTGTATTAGAAGGGTTTTAAACGATTAAACGAATAAAAACAACCAATAGCGCGTTAGAATACAAGCAAGATGTTGGAGTAGTAGTTGATTTCATTATTTTTTTTAATTTGGAAGTTGGAGCAGAGGAGCAGAAGTAGAAGTGTTGAAGTAGGCGGAAAACGTTAGACAATATCGATGTTAGCGGAAACAGAAAGATAGAGAGTATCAATGGTAAAAAATGTTCAATCAAAAGTTTAACTTTTTTTCATACTAAATAATTTCAAAATAAAGAATGAGTGAAGTTAGAACTAGGAAAAACCTGAATCGGGCAATAAATGAACTGTTTAAGGCATGTTTTTGGACTCAAATATATAAACTAACTTAGATATACATAATCCGGGATTGAAGGCAAAGTAATTAAATTAAGAAAGGGTTTTTGAAAAAATATGTTCTCAGTATATATGTATGTACTTAGAATATTTATAAAACTGATTAGCTTGTTATTTATGAGTCTTTGGTAATAATTGTTTAATGAAGCACATTTAACAAGCTCTTAAATTTTAACGAGATTTCTTTTTTATATAGATTTGTTGTAGTTCAAATGATAGCAAAGGGGGATTCGCTTTGTATTTCCAGAAATGGAGCACTATAAGATAAATCTAAATAATAAAACTCAGTTTACAAATTTTAAAACCATAAAACCGCGAATTTAGAAGTTAAAAAAGTTATTTCTGTAGCTAAAAATTCCATTTAATTTCTTTTAGCAAACACAGTCTTTAACGTCAGAGAAATTTGGATCTCTACATTAGATAGCTAGGGTAAACGAAGTTAGTGAACTACATTAGAATTCGATTCGAGAACGATTAGAGAAACAACGGAAATTCAAATAAATCTAAATAAGCAATATTCCAAATGAATGAATCATAAATTATTTTTAAGTTAAAATAATTCATTATTATTTTATTGCAAATACAGCTAATACAAATTTTACAACAAAGCGTTTTATTTAATAAAACAAAACAGCAGTTTGAAATTCATATTCGAATACCATTAGAGATCAACGTTGGAATGTGGCTAGTTCTCCAATCATTCTCTAATCGGTAAATATCCGCAATGTTTGCTGGGTTAATGTCAGAAATTTCAATATCTAACGAAAATTCGGAGCGAGCTTTATAATATCTAATATTTCTTAACTCAATAACTCTTGCAAAATTTAAAGTGTTCAGATTGGCAATAATCCTTTCTGAAAAGGCCAATTATATCCTGGTTGTGGGTTTAATTCTTTGACGTATAAATTAAGCCTTTAAAATTGAAATAAAATATTTATCAACCAGCCTTATGCCGGCATTACACTGGGCATTAAATGACATACATTAATTTACAAAATTAAAAAAGTAACTGCGTCATTACAATCAGAATAATAGTCATTAAGTCTATTTCCATACGGCATTTGTTTAATGGCACAAAAATTTGCGTAACTTTCGTTTCGATGCCTAGTAGAAATTCGGCATAATGCCATATGGAAACGTATTTAATGGCAATTTTTGTTAAATTTCGATGACACAGTCGGGCATTTAAAAAATACCCAGTTCACTAAGTTTGTAGCTATTGAATTCATTCCCGTTTGTCATTTTTTAACGTAATGCCTAGTGGAAATTTGTTTTAGCGGAGAATCTAACAAACGCGTTTAAAAAATGCCTATACATAATACCGAATTTTCACTAGGTATTGAAATTACGAAAAACTTGTGCCATGTAAAAAATGCGATGTGGAAGGACAACACAATGACTTTGAACACCCAGCTAGTCTTCAGTAATAATTAGTATCGCCAATATTGCTAAATATTTTTCATTACAAAGTAATTAATTGATTAACTAACTTATTGTGAAATATTCCTTAATTTTCAATGAATGAAATATGAATGTATGCAAATGTTTTGAGGTGCGATTTCGATGCGCTTGATTTCGTACTAAATTAAGTTGGTTTTGCTTTTTTTTACGAACAAGAAAACAGTTTTTCAAGAGCCTTAGCACAAATTCCGTAAAAGCTGCAATAACTGGAAAGCGTGAACATCAAAAAAAGATATGCAAAAGCACGATAGCTAATAAAATGGCTATACGTAAAATATTTGAAGCGAAAAAGTCAAACGTTCAACTTAGACGGAGTTGTAAAGGAATATTTAGACGTGAAAAGGGTTATATTTATTTTGCAAAGCTGCTGGGATAGAAGTTTTTTTTTTTTGAGGACAGGATTTAAGGAATGTGCTGAAACTAGCATCTCAAATCTTTATTAACTACTAATCGCACTAAAATAGTTCAAAGCTCAAGGTATTCGAATCTAATGAGAATTTGATATAATGAATGATGTCAAGTTCGTTTAGAATATTAATGGAAGAAATGGAGGCTGGAATAGTACCTAATATATAAACTAAATAGGTTTTAAAAAGCGGAAATTATTACAAATTTGATTAGAAGTGGCAAATATGCCTCTATTTTGAATATTTTCAATGGGGCTTAACCCCTTTTTATGTTAGCATGAGCTGATAGCTATACGAAAGTGATTTTACCAGTACTTCAAAACTTGAGTTAACGTGACGAACTCAACTACGTCTACAAAAGCAAATATGTTGTATTTAAAAAGACAGGTCTTTAGGAGGTGAAATGTTTTTTCGGCACTTGGCAGAACATCAGGTTGTCACGAAAAATAAAATGCAACCTTCAAGATGAATATACACCAAATTGAAATACTAAATGGCCTTCCTCAATAAATTTTGTATTTTATCATACAACTATTCGTAAAAACAAACAGAAAGCCTACTGATATACTTATAACGCAAAAGTTGAAAGCTGCAGCTAATGAACCTTATGCATAAAATGTGAGGTTAAGCTGAGACAAAATTTCTGTACACCAATGAAGTACAATTAACCTCACTTTTTAAGCAAGAGAGGTAATATCTGTTACCTACACATATACATATATATATTTACGGTTGCTAGTATAATACTAGAATTTAAGAATAAATATAAACTTTTAAACTACCCTACAATCTGTAAAGAACACTAAAAAAAATACTTTCTTATACGAAAAAAACCTCAAAGTCAATAGTTTCTACAATGGGAGGTAATGTAGTATATATGTACCAATTGCAATAAACGAAAATATAAAAATTAGCCAGCATTGTACGTAAAACGTAGATTGAATTTTGCGCACAAGCAAAATTTTTGAAGCTACAATCCTTATATAATAAAGGTGTTTTTGAATAAGAAATGTGTAAATTTCCTAAAAACATACGTAGGTGGAAAATTTTGTAGAGTTGTTAACATACATTGTTTTATATGTAAAATAAGTTGTAGAAAAATTTTGCAATTGCAAAATGGTGATTAACAAACAAAACAAATTAATTGGAAATATATATATAATATTAAATTAAAACTTTCGCAAAGAAAACCAAAATATCGCATTTAAAAATAGTAGTAGAAAATAGTGTGCTTGAGCGCACATGAAGCCATTCTTACCGATGCCAAATGGTTTGCATGGTGGTTCATCGTTGCTGCCTTTGCCGCCAAAGCTATGACGATTGCGAGTGCCAAAGTCGCGTATGGCTTGGTGTGCTGCAGACGAAGAGGGAATAAGAAAAGAAGAAAGTTAGATACATGATATGACAAAACAGGAAATAACGTTTCACTAAGCAGTCTCTTCTTACCTGGAAATTTGGAGCTTAGTGTTTGATTGTTGAGATCAGCGAATGATTCAGAGCGTCCCACGTTCAGCAGTGATTCCATAGAAGCATCGAAACGCATAAGCTATGTGAAAATATATAGAAAAGTGTTAAAAGAGTACGTTCACACATGTATAAGCAACATTTTTTTGCTATTAGCTACAGGCATTTAAAGAGAGTTGAAATCTATAAATTAAATACATTAATACAATAACCAAAAAGGGTATCCAAAAAGATTTGTGTTACCAAAGTTAAACATAGTAAAACGTATGAAACAAACACAACCATACAATATACAACACACACATTTAAAAGTGGCGCATAAAAAGTGGATTGGAAAGTGATTGCTTAGCTAAAAATACACATTCTAAGTTGTTATATTTTAAAGAATCCAGATTTGTTGTTTTCCTAGTTATAGGGCCACTACTAACTAAGCTTTGTCTAAATAGACTGGATCATTAAATTTTCTTCAAGTTCAACTAAAGGAAGATCCAGGAAGGGTGCTGTTTCGACGGGGTCGGATCAAAGGGAAAAGAGCTCCCAGACCTTCACGTGTGAGGCATGATGATGAGAGTGACCAACGACAAATTCAAGATCCAGGTGAAGTATTCTACCCCCTGCTGGCATGTAATAGCATGCGTCGTCCGACGGAGCCAGTGGCCTTGGAATGTCGCCTCTAGTGAAAGCAAGAGACGTAATAGTCCTTGGAGAGTTATGCGGCATCCTGACCACTGGAGATTTCACCCTAAGCATGCAATCTATACTATCGGCTGAAATAACTTTCCCTTTACTTAGGGTCCAATGAGGTGACATCACTGAATGCGATTTGAACAGGGAACGCTTGGTTAATCAAACTTTGCTCTTACTAGAAGTGAACTTGCAGGTTTAATAAATGCTCTTCCCATTTCTTCCGCTTCACTTTTCGGATCGATGAACATACCAATCGTTTTCCATTTCCGATCATTACTTAGCCTCTAAAAGTGTTTGCAGCCACAAGAAATAAACCCGGGAAAATCTGTTAAAAAAAAGCTTACAGTCATCCTAGGTCTGCGCATTGACTTTGCGCTGCGATCTTAGTCCAAAGAAATTAGCACAGAAAATTTTACGACAGTACACGTAATTTAGAACATCGACTATTCATTACGTCCAAGCAAAGCATATTCTCTTTCAAATCCACTTTGAATGCTTAACTTTCTTTTTTGTTTTTTTTTCTGTTCTCATTATGTTTCAGATTTTGTTTTCCACTTTTGTATACTTACACTTCCAGCTGTGGTTTCTTTAACCGCCTGTTTACATACAATTACAAAATTTGCGTACGTAAATCAAATGTGTTTATGTGCAGACGGCGGTTATTTCATAATTTTTGTTTTTCATATTTATCATTCGTTTAAAAATTGTTTGTTTCAAGTTTTTTGTTTTGGTTTGTTTAAATTTTGTTGGTGGAGCATAATATTTATTGTTAATACGATTAATTGTAGTACATAGGTGAGGTGGTAAAATTCAAATTTTGTTCGACATTGGTGAGGACATAAAACATACGAGTATATTATTTCAATTTATTTAGATTAGTTTAGTTTTGGTTTTAGGTGAAAGCGCAAAAAAGTGAGAAAAAGAAGAATTTTGTTTTAGAGCTCGGTATATAGTTAATAGATACGAATTCAAATCATTAATTGATTAAATAATTTGTATATAGAAGCAGCTAAATTGTGATTGAGAATTTTGCAAAAATAATAAAGCGTCATTTGTACACAACTAACTACGATGTGTTTCATTGTGACTTGATGCGCAGCTACGGATGTGTTTAGCGCTACAGAGCATATGGCATACAGTACCTGTGAGAAGTTGGGCACGCTGACAGTCTTGCGCATAGACAGTGGTTGACCGTGCGCGGTCTCTAGCTCTTTGACGGCTACACTTTGACGTAGGCGATCAAGTGTCAATATACTTTCCACAGCTGACACGCCGCGTGTGTATTTTTCTGTGGTTTATAAAACGAAATGATTACTAAGAAAATATAACATTAAACTTTTTGTTTTTCCACTCACCGATGTAGGTTTCGCCATCACTTGCAGAGCAGTCATCACCGCTTGCAGCTAGCTGTGCCAACGACTCGCGATCCTCCAATTCCTCTGATGCCTTTGGTATGTTTGAGACCACTTCATAGGTGACACCCGTTTGCGATATGGCATTCTCGCCGCGCACCAGGCGAAACTTTTTCAGCCGATCGGTAATACTTTGGCCTTTCTTGATGTTTATGCTGATGCGTTTGCGCAGCACCAAATCCATGGGCGCAGGATGCGAGAGACGCACCGTGGTGCGCAGAATTAAGTAGACGCGCTCATTCGCTTCGGTCATACGATTCAACGCCTGACTGTCGTGCATCGACGAATCCCAACTGGCAATCGAGCACACATCCTTCTCCAGGTGTTGTAGTATTTGAAGGGTGTAGAATTTATGACCATGTTCTTTGGAGAGTATGGAATTTAAGCCAGCAACGGAGAATTCGTCATTGGTATTCTGTGCCGACATATCGTCTGCATTTAGATTGAGAAACAACACGGGTACATGCGGTTCCATGCCAGCTGGCGGGTCCCAAGAGGCTGGCGCACCGGGTATGCCTGAGCCAGGCGCGGGCACCAAAACTGCATTCCGTTCCTCGGTTAGCGATACCCACTGATGAACCAAACTCAATTCACGTTCACGCTCTTCCTCGCTCTTGTCCTCTTTTTTAATCAGCTTTTGTATTTGTTGATCGAGATATTGCCGTCGTCGTCCCAGCGCCTCACTCCATTTTTCACGTAGCACAGTCAGATCCTCCTCCTGATACGAATCCAATGGACGCTGTAGCCGTGAGCGCACACAAATACTGCCAATAGCTATGTTTACTATGGATTGACAAATTATGGGCAATGTGCCCGAGTTTTGTACAGGCTTGACGCGCACATTCACGCGCCGCTGCTGACCTTGGCGCAGCTGATAAATGCCACCGGTGAGCACCTCAGTGCGATTTGTCACTTCCACAGGCGAATATTCACCATTGTCATTTAGCTCGTGTATCTCCACCCACAGTTCAATTTTACGTGACAACTCCGCCCAGCGATCGACTAACGAACGCGCCTTAGCCTGCTGTTGCTCCACCTCCCAGCCTTTGGTTTTTGAGAAACCGGCACTGCGGTGACCCCAAACCTCAATGGATAAAGCACCCTCAATGCAGTGCTCGAGAAACTCTTCATTGATGGTGACGGTGAAATCTTTAGTATGTTCGAATTTAAATACCATATTCTGGTCATGCGAGGGCGCTTCGGCATTGATGACGGGCACCACAGTCTCTTGATGACCCCAAAAAGTGTACTGACAGAAAACGAAATTAGAAAGCGAGAGTGGCAGGCCGGTGGCGCTTTTTATGGAGACACGGCAAGTTATCTGATTGGACATCGGATCGACTGGATCGTCGTATTCATCACGCGAGTCGGTCGACGACTCGGAAATCGATTCGCACATGCGATCCTGTGGCATTTGACCAGCTATGCGTTCAACTTCGACTTGAAGTCGGCCAGCAACTTCACCTTGTTGACTAATTATTGGTGTGTGATAGTCCAATTTCACATCATGGAAGAGTACTTCAAGGAAAATATTGGCGACACCGATCAAATTGTGATTCTCTTGCGACTCATAGAAGGGATCCAGAGACTTCGAGTGCTCACTTTCCTATGAATTAGAGTAAGAAAAGAGTTAGTGCGATTGTTGATTTCATTTTGAGGAGGCAAATGAAGGGAATGTAGGGGAAAGAGTATTTAGGGTAAAATGAGTAGTAAGTATGTAGACAATTACCTCATCGCTATCTTCATCGTCGGAGTATGTTTCAACGACAGGCTTTTTTGTTTGCCAATCGCCATAATGATTTGTGCGAATTGTAATGAGTTAGTAAAATGTAGAAATGTAGAGAAATTTTTAAATTGAATAGCACAGTTAGCATACATATGTATGTCAATACTCACAAGAATATGAATTACAAGCAAAGTGAATAGAAAGAATGATACCAATTGTATGGTGTAACTTACCAAACCATTTAGAATGCGCTCCTTGTGTTCCTGATACATTTCACGCATATCAATTAACTTGTTTTCCAGTTTCTCCATAGTCCAAATTTGACTGCCTGAATTAGTACGTTTTACCAAAATTGCCGGTTCGCTGACAAAGGCGCCACGCTGTATGAAATAAGTTTAAATAAAGTTTTTTAAGATTCAAAAACAACACTAAAATATTAAATTAAAAGTCCATAACTTTGACTGTGATCATTAACGAACTAATAGTGTCTCACGAAGCTTACTACTACTCACCCTTCTGTTTGGGCTAAGATTTGCTGGCGGTATTTGCAAAGTAACTGAGAATTTAGTCTTCTTCTCCATCTCTTCGGCAAGGAAGTTAGCCTCCTGTACCAGCGCATTAGCACGCATTATATCGTTTTTCAACTGACCTAACGAACGCTTGAACATCTCATCACGCTCCTGCACGCATATTTAAATAAACGTACGCGACATTAATGTGTAAGCAAATATCCAACGATACATTTTCAAACAGTCTTCATTACATACCTGTGCCCATTTCTCTACACGCATTTGGGATGTAGGTGTGTTTGGTGTTATTTTACCCAAACGCAAGGGATCATATGGCGTATATGGTGCGTAAGGTGTGCTGGGCGATAACGTATTACGCAACTGTTGAAATTGTCGCTCATACTCCTGCAAAGGCAATTAATCAAAAATAATTTGAGGTGGACACTCAACACAAAAAAAAAAAACAAAACAAAGATATACATGCGAATTGCCTACGGATGCCGCACTTGTGTTCGCTCACCTGTCTCTGCTTCTCTAACGCCACCTGCTTATCCTCCTCATGCTGACGCTCAAGCCGTGCAATGGCCGTCTGTATGGGATCATTGCTCAGTTCGTTCTGCATAATCTCATCGCGCGCAAAATTATAATCAATTAATTGCGCCGGCGTCTGCGGCTCCGAGATCATATTGGCATTGGCGCTCTTCGGACAATTGACACGGAAGAAATGATGATTGCCCCATAAAATACGATCGCCATTATGCAGCGGAATTTTCTCCAGCACCGCCGAACCATTTACAAAGCAACGCGCCCCCTGAATTGGTTCCATGAAGAGGCCACCATCTTCGATTACAATGACACAATGTTCAGGTTGTATGCCAAGGCCGGATAGTTGTATGTCGGGTTGTTGGCCGGATATGCTGTGACCACCAATCAGTGTACGCTCCTGCAATAAAGTAAAATCGGATGTGAAAACTATGCTACGCATTGGCTCCCCTTTCGAACACACACCTTTAAATAGTAGACCAACAACTCATTGAGGGACGGATCAGCATTCAAATTGACTAAATAATATTTATTCTTCTCCACTTTAATGCCACTCGCTTGCACGCTGATACCCATCTTTTCAAGTGCCTGCTGCCGTTCATTTTGTATGCGTTCGGTTTTCACCAATTTCTCCTCCCACGTCTGCGAGATTTGCTTCATCAGGTTCTCACTTTCAGCCAGCTTGTCGTGTATGTCCACGCGTTGCACATCGCCCACTGGCGAACCGGTGGCGTGTTTCAGCATATTTCGTAATGCTTCCACTTCCAGACGCAATTCTCGTATGATACGCGCATTTGGATCCTCATTGACGACAGCGTGATTGACAATGCGTTTGGCGCGATCGGCGTAGCGCAGCGTGGATAGCGTCTCTTCGTAGTTGTCGCCTGAGGGTGATATCGTGGCAACCATCACCGTCTTCGAGTTGCCACCTAAATTGTCCTTCAGCAGCCAGGTAAGCACTGAATCGCGATAGGGTACGAATTTGTCATTGCTGCTTTTCTTGCCATTCGATTGATCGGCTAGCTTCGAAATGACCAAGCCCAAGGTGGTGAGGGATCTAAGGTGAAATTTACAAAAGTCATCTCCATAATTGGTGTAAAAAATTAAGATATTTTCGTTTGGATTTAACAAATTAAAATTTTCAAAAATTGCTCTTAAAGTTATTTTCATAATTTCATTAAACAAATTTAGTTAAATTCTTTTATAAAAACAGATTTTCGTTTAATTTAAAATATTTGGCTCATCTCACTAGCTATTATTCCCCTTTCAAGCACTTCAGTTCTTTTCTAACCGGCAGGCGGTTTGCAGGCACAAAGTGTATGTATAGTTGAGGCCGTGAGCGCCGAAGTAGCTTAACTCCCATTTTTTATTGAATAATAATAGCAATGGATTGGCGAGCTTCTCCTCCGATTTGTGGCGTGCGCCTTGATGTTATCGCACAAAGGGGATGGACATAAACCTTTACCCACTTTTTTTTTTACTTAACTACTTAAAAAGCTTTAAATGTGATAAATTTAATTTTTCTTAACTTTAAGGTGCAATGCTATGAACATAACGGCCTCTATTACTAGTACCTTCGGACATGCCGTACCCGGTTACATACATTTTATGCTGGCAAACCGGCGACCAGAACGTGTGAAACGGCATTTAATGCAATGTTGAAAGCTCTTATTTTTGCTGTAAAAATGTTTCAGGTAGAAATAGCGCCTTAACAGGCAAGAATTTATTACATTATATGCTGTTTTACTTCTTCTATTCTATTTAGCAAAAAATTTCTTTAGTCTCATATTATTCTCGCCGCTTTTTCATATTCACCAACACCACTCACTTGTTGATGTTGGAGCCCTCCTTCAGTCGGTCACCCACAGCACCAGTTTTGACGGCACGCTCCGAGCCAGCCAAATCCACCAGCGACATACGTGACACTTTTTCACCACTCACGCCAGTCGCTTGGTCGGTCAGAATCTGTGTTAACACTACCGAGAAAACAGCATGCGAACGTGACGATTCAGCATTCATATTAGTAGCGGCCACTGTACGTGATTTGTTGCCCTCCGTCATTAGATTGTCAATGTCCTTGTACGAAGACACTGCCAATTGGGATAAACCATCAACATAGGGTCCCAGTACATTGTGCTCACGCACTTTGAGTGACTGTTTATTTGGTTTGGGATCAAGTAGATCGTGTACTTTCTCATTGTATATTTCCATATAGGACACTTCCACTTTATACAACAGATCCTGTGTAGTCTTATTGGCAATGGCAGAGAAGAGCTCATCACAAAGGCGTGGTATGATGCCTTTGGATTCAAGTGAACCCATCATTGTGTATGATTTGCCGGAGCCTGCGGTGTGGAGAGGGGGAAAAGTAGAATTTATGTATTTCTTTTATATATTTACATATGTGTTTGTGTAAAGTCGACATAAGTTTGCATGCACGTCGAACTCACCTGTTTGGCCATAGGCAAAAATGCAGGCATTATAACCTTGGAATGCATTATCGAGTATATCACGTCCCACACAATCGAAGACTGTTTCTTGTGAAGCAAAATTTTGATCCTCGGCATTTAGCGAGTAGAAGCAATGATCGAATGCAAATGTTTTGGGAGGTTTCCTATGGAAGAATAATATAAATAAAAATTGTAAATCGTGGTAATAATATAAAATATTTATCGATGTATTTAGTATAAAAGAAGAGTGAATGAATCAGCGCGCCTAATGAGCAAAGCAACAAATCAACCATCACAATCAATAGCCACCAAATAGGCTTAGTTATGCAAATGCGCACGTGCGCGAATATTAAATTGTAGACAGTCAGCGAAAGTGTAGTTAAATCTGAGAGACATCCCTGCAGGGCAACGTGAACCAAAAAGAAAATACCTAATCAGCCCTATCATGAGTTTCAATTACCCCAAACCGGTTAACTTTCAACGTTTGATTTCCATGTGTTTACTATGGGCGGAATAAAAATTTTCAGCTGAAATTTTTTTTTGGAGGAAAACTCAGGATAAGGCAGAATATGTTTTCCGTGAAGGCGATTACATAGTTTTATAAGGATCGGCCCTTAGAGAAGAACCTCATGGTAGAGCTGGGTCTATCCGTATGTTCGGATACCTCATAGTCAAGTCATTCGAGATATCAAGCATATACAAAATTTAATTTTCAAAGAGAGATTTTAGGGAAATAGACAGGCAAATTAATCAAAATATTTTAGCCAAAAGTTCGGTTAATCTGCATTTTACATGAGGCGATTTTCTAGGCGATTCAACATTGCTCAAGAAAAATCGCTCGTCTTAAAGTAGACAGCAAGTCAACTTTTGCAGGCGATTATCGCCTGTCAAAAAATCGCCACGTGTAAAGGCAGCTTTAGGTAGCAGAACCGCTCATATAAACTTCTTTGTTTCTTCTTTTAATATTTTCCTGAAAAGGTAACTTTAGGTAACCCACAAGAAAAATGCTGGCTGGGCGAACTAAAGTTCTGAAAGCAGCTGATGTCCTTCCTAAACCGTTCCTCGGTAGTTTTGATGAAATACGAGCTAATATGTTTATACCTAGACCTTGCGAAATCAGGGCAGTTAAGTAGGAAATGCCGAAATGATTTCCCCTCGTCATCCTCCTAACAGCTATAAGGGTCAAAAATGATTTCAAATTGTACTGCGCACCTATTGGTCAGTGTTCGTTCACGACTCCCGAAACACTTGACCAGCTAAAGAAACATTGTGATCATTTGCTATCGAATCTCAGACTTTAAAACTTCTTATCACGCGATTGTCGACAAGCGCCTCGCTAAGACTACCAAAAGTCAATCTGTCCAATTGCAAATGATTTATCCACTCAACAAAAAAAAGTTGGAAATGTGGTTTAAGCAAACTTAATGAATTCCCTGCAGGGTACACGCATATTACATACATTAGTGCATATGCACATACATTTAAATTTTGCATAGATAAATGGGCATGTCGTCTTACTCACCTCTCCAATTTGTCGAGCGATGGCGGATTTTGCAGAATTGTCTGCTGTTTTTCCATCTCCACGATGCATTTTGTGCCCAACTCGATTTCTAAAAGTAAAAGGAGGAAGGAAATACATAAGTATCAATAATTTTGTGAATTATTTACTATGTAGTAACTAGGTATGTATTTAGTTAGCGAGAATGACGCATTGCAAAATGTGCAAAAAAGTAGATTTATGTATACGAATTTATGTAAATGAGTTGTTAAATAGAAATGAATGATTGATAAACGTAAAATTATATAAATAAAAGATATGACCCGAAATGGAGAACCCAAAAATACATATGTACATAAAAGATTTTTTTTTATTGCTGTGCCACCTTAGCCTGCCGAAGCATAGGCCATTTTTTTAGAAGTGAATTTATTTGTTATTTAAAAATGTAGCGATGTAATAGTATGGCATTGCAGTAATGCACACGGATATAAAATCGAATGCTAAATACTGCATGCATAGGCAAGGCCAGAGTGTTAATCAGTATTTATGCATTTGAAATTCAATTTCGCACTGTACAGCTTTAGCAAACAATTTGTGAATGCAAGGAGGCAAACTTTCTTATCACTCGCACACAACGAATGGCAGCAAAGTAAGGCATAAAGCTCGTCAATGCACTTTCCCATACATGAATGGTTCTTAAGAATAACGCTGATAGGGCAAGCGATTATAGAGAATATGAATTTGAGTTAATTGGGTGTAGCTTTTAAGCCGAAAATATTGATAATGAAGGCTATTTATTGAACAACAACACAGTGTTACACTGAAAATGAATTTTTTAGTCGAGTAATTTGTAAAATTGTTTAAAATTTTCCTAACATCCTGAAATTCTCAATAAAAGAGTAAGACGCAATTCTCACATGACTTCTTTTTAGCTCAAATATTTTGTAAGCAATTTCAAATTATAATTCCGAAATACCACAAACTCCTAACATTTCGGAAGCATCAACAACCAAAAAGATGTGGAAAGTGGCTAGGATGACTCATCGTCTTATGCCAGGGAAGAAGGTGGATGCCGGGTACTCGTACTTCTCCCCAGTCTGAAGAAGTACCTGAAACTAGCCGAACATCAGCATGGATTCCGAAAAATGTACAGCACCATCAGAGCATTGAACGTCATCAACACACATACTATTAGCGAAGGTCTGAAACAACGTCGACCATGGATAGGTCGGTCCTGGTCGCTGTTGACCTGTTGAAGGCATGAGATACGTCCCTTTGGCAAGACGTCCATGACTCGTTGATTCCAGATCAGACGAAACGGTGGATAATCAACTATCAGTGTGGTTGCCAATTAACAGAAGAATTGCGTAAAGCCAAGTCCCAGTCGAGTAGAATTAAAAAGGGGGGGTTACCTCAGCGGCGTACTTTCCCCTTAACACTATACGGAAAAATCATTGACTTTGCAGTTTATTCAAGACGAGAAACCTCAGCATATCTGCCCAAAATCCTGCGAGTAAAGTTTGACAGCCTTTTCTCTTTCTCGGCGCACGCCTCAGCCACTTAAGTTGCTAGCCGGCAAAACCTCGGGAGCCGACAATGAGACCCTGCACACAACATACTAAGCGAGGGGCAGATCGGTGGCCAACTATGCCCCGCCAGTGTGGTCGGCAGAGACGAGCGACACTACTGCGTGAATCTTTCGAACTTGCCAGAACGTAGCTCTAGTTTCGGCCACAGACTGCGACCTCATGTCGTCCGATTAACATCTTAATGGAGAAAGGTAGATGCTGGAGGTGAAGGAGTACAACACTATGCGATCAAAGTAATTCATAGTGCGATGCCATCGCAGAAACCACTCCGGCAAGGCATTGCTTCGGAGAGATGCACCTAAGACCCGATAACCCTGACACTGAAAGCTTTATGGACTGCGCCCATCGACGTCGCCCGCTTTTTTGGCTTCTGGCTTGCAGAGTCGGAGGATGAAGATGACTCACCTAGGAGGATCTAGATGCAATTCTACATCAACAAGAAACTTTTAAAAAAATCTTACCTTTACCTTTTTGGCGGTTAGGGTTCTATATGGCTGTTTGGTAGCGCATTGTGCCAACGTCTTTATAAGTATACCAGTGGTCCTACGGTCACATATGTAGCTCTACCGTACATTCTTGGCAACTCTGGAAATACTCGAATCGAAATTACGAGATATCGAAACAGCTGGTATTCTCTCATTCGTTTGTTTTTACCCATCATTCGCATTTCTCCCCCAACACTACACACTAATTGTTTGTTTATGACATCCCAAATAGCCTGATTACAGTAATCATAGTATTCGCAATAAGGCTCACGTTCGGTTAGTAGAAAAACTAAAAAACGTTGAACCATATCCTACGGTTGGCATTCGGAAGCGAGTTTCGCAAATCAAAGTGGAAAACATAACTATGAAACAAGTCTAAGGTACCATGACAAGCTGTTTTTCACCGCAGAACAGAATCCAAATGACTTGCGAGACACTCAAACACCAAAAAGCCCTTTTTAAGTTTTGATCTTGATAAGTCCATGAGGTTTGAGAAAGAACCAGTTGTGGAAACAGCTGCTGAATCGCCATATGAAAATCTCAACCTTTTATAGCCATTAAAATTCAAGCACTACCAAGTGCCCAACTTCATTTTGTTTCTCATTCTGCCAACCGTTTAACGGTCTCTATAGGGATACACATCGTTTAGCTGTTTAATAATCTTCAATAATTAATTGCTAATAAAAAGTTCTTTCCAGAGCATCACTTCTCTCTTTAATAAAAAAAAAATATTTTTTTTTTTTCAAAATTGATTATTTTATTTTTTAAGTATTGAAATAATAAACGAATATTGCATTAATGTCTTTGACAAGCCCTTTAGTTACATAAAATGTCCCACT